GGGGGAATATTCAGTCCATAGCACTCACCTGCTTCCACAAGAGTCTGCTGGGCACATGAGTGCCCTACTAGACTTCTTTTCCCAGCCCCGCTCGCACTTAGAGGTGGCGACGTAGCCGAGTGCCAATGAAATGTGAGTAGATGCGGTGTGTGTTTCTTCGGACAGCAGACCGTGCTCTCCCTTTACCTATGGCTTCCCCTTATTGCAATCTTGGCCGTGACTGTGCTGATGAAGACAAAATTCCCTGGGGGCAGACACCATGCTGGAAGGAATCTGGGCCTCTGAGTGACCCCGTGGAGCATGGCTGCCACCCCCTGGAGTAATCATGTTGGGACTGTTGCACAAGAAATAAAATTCTTTCTTTTCTAAGCCACTGGATTTTGGTTGGGTTTCTTTATATTATACTAGCTTAGCCTTCCCCTAAAGCACTGCTCAGTTAGTGGACATTTTGATTGTCATAATTTGGGGGGTGCTAACTGTATCTAGTGAGTAGAAGCCAGGGATGTTGTTAGGCATCCTACAAGGCACAGGACAACCCTACTGCCCCCGCCCCAGGAAAGAGTTTCCTGGCCCAAAATATCAACAGTCCTGAGGTTGAGAAACCCTGCCTTTTTTTTTTTTTTAAGATTTTATTTATTTATTTATTTGATAGAGCACGAGCCAGGTAAGGGTCAGAGGGAGAAGCAGTCTCCCTGCACATGGGGCTCGATCCCAGGACCCCAGGATCATGACCTGAGCTGAAGGCAGACACTTACCCGACTGAGTCACCCAGGCGCCCCAGAAACCCTGCTCTTAACATTGCGATAAAAGGAATCCTTTCTGGTCATTTCTAGAACAGGGTCTTCCTAAGAGAATCAGTTTCCTTATGTGAATGAAAGAAGACAAACTGCTATCTGGAAGAAGTTAGTCTCAATATCTGATATATGAAGGGCCATTAGCCTTAACTTTTTTTTTTTTTTAAGATTTTATTTGTCAGAAGAGAGAGGGCGTGCATACCAGTGCACAAGCAGGGGGAGCTTAAGCAGACTCCCCGCTGAGCAGGGAGCCTGATGCAGGGCTCGATCCCAGGACCCTGGGATCATGACCCAAGCCGAAGGCAGACGCTTAACTGACTGAACCACCCAGGCGCCCCTTAACTTTTTTTTTATTTAAATTAGCCAACATATAGTGATCATTAGTTTTAGATGTAGTGTTCAATGATTCATCAGTTGTGTATAACACCCAGTGCTTACCACATCACGTGCCCTCAATACCCATCACCCAGTTACCCCATCCCCCACACCCCTCCCTTCTGCAACCCTCAGTTTGTTTCCCAGAGTCACGAGTCTCTCATGGTTTGTTTCCCTCTCTGATTTCTAATGTTTTTTTTTAGATGAAGGCATGAAGATCAGTTTTCTCATAGATAATGGGTAAAGGACATAAAATGATAGAATTGCAAATAGCCAGTGGATATGGAAAAATATGTTTAGCCTCACTTAAAATCAAAGAAATACAAATCAAAACACAGGTTGGTTTTTTGGTTATTTCTTTTTTCTATCAAGTTAGTAAAGATAAAAAGCCTGACAAAATCTAGGGTTGACAAAGTGTAAAAACATACTTAGTGGAGTGTCAGTTGGTATAATTTTTTCCTTGGGCAATTCATTTAAAAGTATCAGCTCTTAGAACATGCAATGCTTCTTGAGCTGGCAATTCCATTTTTATTTTTTATTTTTTGAGAGGGAGAGGAGCAGGGAGGGGCAGAGGGAGAGCGAATCTTAAGCAGGCACCACACCCAGCCTGATGTGGGGCTTGATCTCACCCACGACCCTGAGATCCAGACCTGAGCTGAAATCAGGAGTCCAATGCTTAACCAACTGAGCGACCCAGGCACCCCCAGCAATTCCATTTTTTTTTTTTAAGATTTTATTTATTTATTTATTTATTTATTTATTTATTTGAAAGAGAGAGGGAATGAGCTGTGGGGAGGGGCAGAGGGAGAGAGAGAGAGAGAGAGAAGCAGACTCCCCGCTGAGGAAGGAGCCTGACACAGGGCCCAATCCCAGGATCTGGAGATCATGACCCAAGCCAAAGGCAGACGCTTAACTGACTGAGCCACCCAGGTGCCCCAGCAATTCCACTTCTAAGAATTTATCCCAAAGAACTAATAGGACAAGGTGTAAATTAGAGATGGCCTCAACCCTTGCTACTCCTCCCATTGAGAGGTGGGTCTAATTCCCCTCCCCTCAAATCTGGTTGTCCCCAACAACTTGTTTGACCAATAAAATGTAATGAGATGTCGACTACCCAGGAGTGTTCCCAAGTATCGCAGCTTCTACCGAGGCCTCCTGAAACTCTCTGGAAACCCTGCATGGCCACGAACAGAGTACCACTACCTGGGACTGCTGTGCAGGAGAGGTCCCATGTAGGCATCCTGATCCATAATGCCAATTAAATGCTACCTTCCAGCCACCCCAGTGACCTCCATAGTATTACATAGAACAGAAGAATCACCTGGCTGAGCCCCGCTGAAATGTGTGACTCAAAAATTCTGAGTGACAATAAAATGGTTCTTTTAAGCAATTGTTTTCAGGTAGCTTATTATGCAGCAATAAATAACTGGAACACACAGATAAGTACAGCCATATGAATAAATGTTCACCAGGGCATTATTTGTGCTAATGAAAATTGGAAACAATCAAAACACTGTACATCTATTAATGGCACACCAAAGCAATGAAATATATCTAGTAAACAGAATGAAGTAGAATTGAGTAAAACATGGTCAGATGTTTGTGAAGAGTATTCAGTTAAAAATGTAAATAGTAGAAAAGTGGATAGTATGATTCACATAAGAAAACCAAGAGCCCAATTTAAAAAGTGGGCAAAAGTTATGGGGCGCCAGGGTGGCTCAGTTGGTTCAGCATCTGATTCTTGGTTTCAGCTTGGGTTGTGATCTCAGGATCTGGCCCTACATTGGGCTCCACACTCAGTGGGGAGTCTGCTTCCCCTCTGCCCATCCCCCACTTTCTCTCTCTCTAAATAAAAATAACCTTTTTAAAAAAGTTAAAAAAATAAAAAATGGGCAAAGTTACGAACAGACACCTCACCCAAGAAGATGTACAGATAGCAAGTATACTTGTAAGAAGGTGCTCATTAGGGAATTGCAAATAGAACAATGAAATGTCTTTACCCACCTATCAGAATGGTCAAAATCCAGAACACTGACAACACCAAATGCTAGTGAGGATGTGCAGCAACATGAACTCTTTTTTTTTTTTTTAAAGACTTTATTTATTTGACACAGAGAGAGTGAGAGAGAGAGAGCACAAGCAGGGGGAGTGGCAGGCAGGCAGAGGGAGAAGCAGGCTCTCTGCTGAGTAAGGAGCCCGATGTGGGACTCGATCCCAGAATCCTGGGATCATGACCTGAGCTGAAGGCAGCCGCTTAACCGACTGAGCCACCCAGGCGCCCAGCAACATGAACTCTTTATTCTTTGCTGGTAGAAATGCAAAATCATGCGGCCATTTTGGAAGCCAGTTTGGGGGTTTCCTACAAACCTAGACAATCTTACACTTCTTTGTATTTAACCAAAGGAATTAAAAACATGTCCACACAAAAACCTGTACACAAATGATTACAGCAGCTTTATTCATAATTGGCAAAACTTGGAAACAACCACGAAGTCCTTCAATAGGTGAATGGGTAAACTGTGGTCCATCCAGACAATGAACTATTACTCAGCGTTAAGAAGAAATGAGCTATCAAGCCACAAAAAAGCATGGAGGAAACTTAAATGCATTTTACTTAGTGAAAGAAGCCAGTCTGAAAAGTCTGCATACACTGTGTGATTCCAACTCTACCACATTCCGGAAAAGGGAAAATGCAGTAAAAAGATCAGTGTTTGTCAGGGGTGTGGGGAGTGGGGAGAGGGATAAAAAGTGGAGCACAGGATTTGGGGGGCAGAGAAACTATTCTGTATATTGTAATGTTGAATACATGTCATTATACACTTGTCAAAACCTATAGAATGTACAACACAGAGTGAGCCCTAATGTAAACTATGAACTTTAATAATAATGTATCAATATTATTTCATCAGTTATAATAAATGTACCACTAGTGCAAGGTATTTGTAATGGGGCTGTGTGTGTGTGTGTGTGCGCGCGCGCGCGCGCGCGCACGTGTTTAGGGGTATACAGGAACTCCACTTCTCAGTTTTTTCGTAAACTTAAAACTACTCTAAAAAATAAAGTCTGTTTAGTTAAAAGAAAAAAAAAAACAACGTAGCCCCAAAGGTCGGTGGTGTGCAATTACGTACCTGTGCATATGTGCATTTTCCCAAGCAGTGGAGGCCAGAAAGGATGCACCCAAACTGCTAACATTCATATTCAAAGGTGAACAAGGGTCACAGATCTGTATCCTGAGGAGGTGGGGAAACTGTAAGTTCCTATGTAGTTTGAATTTTCTCAGTGAACGTAAAATTGGCAAAAGCAGTGCTTCCATTTGTTAGACTAGGGCAGGTTTAGGGGAGAGCTCACGAGAGGGACTGTATGTTTAAACACCCATCTTTAATAACGACACTGCTACTCCACTGGTCAGGGTGTGGTAAGCAGCGGGAGGAAGGCCTTGAAGCTCAGGGGCGCAGGCCCTTCTCCCGAGCCCCGCGCTCCACCTGCACGTGCGTCGCCGGCCGCCCCGCTGGGCGCTGGGGACTCCGCGCGCGCTCGCGGGACCGCGCTCGTCACACCCGCCCGCACCTGCTCCGGCCAGAGCAGCTGCCGGGGAGGGGGGCGGGAGCCCGGGCCCCGGCCACGCGGGCAGGGACGTGCATCCAGGATGTGCGGGGCCCTCAACCCCGCCCCCGAGCCCGGACCCCGCTCCCGCGCGACGCCGCGCGCAGCCCTCCGACCGGAAGCCGGGGGGCATGTCCAGACGGCGCCCCGCCCCACCTGGGGGACCAATCAGCGCCCGAGGTTCATTAATAGTGAACGCGCCGGCCCCGCCTCCGCCCCTCGCGGCCCCGCCCGCCCGCGCAGACCTAGAGCGCGGCCGCGGACGAAGATGGCGACCGCCATGTACTTGGAGCACTACCTGGACAGTAAGCGCCCCTCGCGGCCCTCGGGCCCGGCGCCCGCGCAGGGTCTCCCCACACGGGCCCACCCCGCGGGCACCAGGCGCCGCGCGCGGACCCCGA